TGTAGTCCGGGAAGGTTTTGGGAGAGGAAGCAATGGGGCCGTATTGTCAGGCAGATGTCAATGAAAGGGATTATGTGTGGGAAGGGGTTAAGTGGCAGCGGCCTTTGATCCCCCCATCTAGTGTCTGGAAGAGGCCGGGCCTTTTCAGTGTGAATGAAAGGAGACAAGGGGTGGAATTGGGTTACTCCCCATCACCCACCCCAATGGCAGTGCTGCCCCCATCCTCCTCCCTCTGCACACCTCAGTGGCACTCACTCACCCTGTCCCCCTGGACACACTGCCCCCCTCTGTCCCAATCAGGATGTATCTGTGTGACCCCTCGCCGGGGCACCCTGCCTAGAACCCACCGGCGTGCCCACACCCGGCTCGGCTGCAAGTTCCATGCATTGTCTGGCTCACGCAACAACTGTTACAGACAACAAAGACGCATTTTCCTTGCTGCGATTTCCTCGTCGCGTATACCCACCTGTGCCGATTCAGTGACCATGGCGCAGCTACGGCCATGCCGGGGGCAGAAGCGGGTGGCCAGGGCACTGTGGCCCCGTGTCTAGGCACCATCAGTCTGCCACTCCTCCCTGCTGTCCCCATGTCTCCCTGTAAAAACAGACACACTACCCCCCTCTCCTTCCACAGACACAGGGCTTGCAGCTCCCTCCCATCCTGGACTCGGCTTATTAGAAAGTTATCCTGTCCCACAGCCAGGGGCGGGAGGGAGGAGGACAGGGGAGGAAAACCCTGGCACGTCACACACCATTTCTCTGGAGGCTGTGCCCACTGGATGCCTTCATCTCCCTCTCTCTGCAATGCCAAGGGTGGCATTGTGACACCAGGACACCTCTGCCAATCCTAGGAGCATGGCCATCCAAGGGTGCACATCGCAGGTACATGCCGCCTGGACTTATATTGTAGCCACATAACCCATACCCATACTACAGACATACCTGTACCCAACCTGAAAATACACGCCTTCAGATACACATCCAACATATCCATGCAACATGCAGCCTACACACGCACACGTCATGCACTTATAAGAATGGTATGTTGGCGCCCACATTTTATTTTTGTTTACATGACGGATGTATGACAAAAGTCGCATACCGCCTGCATACACATAGGCTGTAAAAAAGGACACACATAAAAATCACGTAAAAAAGGGACATACATAAAAATCACATAAAAAAGGACGCACATAAAAATCACATAAAAAAGGACACACATAAAAATCACATACATAAAAACCACATAAAAAAGGACATACATAAAAATCACATAAAAAAGGACACACATAAAAATCACATACAAAAAGGACATACATAAAAATCACATAAAAAAGGACATACATAAAAATCACATAAAAAAAGGACATACATAAAAATCACATAAAAAAGGACATACATAAAAAAAGGACACACATAAAAATCACATAAAAAAGGGACATACATAAAAATCCTAAGTTCCAGAAGAGCGCAGAGTGTGCCAGGTGAAAGGAGATGTGGTCGGTCATTGGGTTTGTGCATCTCTGCCTGGTGTCACAAGGCGCCAGCCTGAGCCCGACCAGGGGGCATTTCGGGATCTGTCCCAACCAGCTGAATGCCAACCTGTGGGTGGACGCCCAGAGTACCTGTGAAAGGGAGTGTGAAGCCGATCAGGTAAGAAATGGTTAATTCTCTGTGCTTGTAAGGCTTTTTTATTGCTTACCTCTTTCTGAAAATGCTAGGCGCCTGGCTGTAATGCCAGATTTCTGTCTTAAATACTTTGATAGAATCTCTTCCCCTTAGACGTAAAGAGTGCCCCCTCTTTACGTCTAAGGCTTCTTCACAGTAAGAGCTGTGAACCGGTATAATAGACCCCCTCAAGAGCTGGTTCTGGCTCAGTATCTCCAAATACAGAAAGGCTTGTTCACAGTAAGAGTTGTGAAACGTTAGAATAGACTCCCTCAAGAGCTGGTTCTGGCTCAAGTATCTCCAAATACGGAAAGGCTTCTTCACAGTAAGAGCTGTGAAACGGTATAATAGACCCCCTCAAGAGCTGGTTCTGGCTCAGTATCTCCAAATACGGAAAGGCTTGTTCACAGTAAGAGTTGTGAAACGTTAGAATAGACTCCCTCAAGAGCTGGTTCTGGCTCAGTAAATAGTTTTAAAGGCCTGGCTTCTTTTCTAAAGGCAAAAAATATACGGGGATACTGATATTTATAGGTAAAGTTGATCCAGGGAATATCAGATTGCCTCTCGGGGGATCAGGAAGGAATTTTTTCTTTTGCTGGAGAAAATTGGATCATGCTTTATTGGTTTTTTTTTTTTGGCTTCCTCTGAATCAACTGTGTATATAGGATTGTATATTTTTTCTTTCTCTTCTATTGGTTGGGCTGGATGAATTTGTGTCTTTTTTTAACCAGACTAACTTTGATACACTAAAGGCTGCCATACACAGCTCAAATTTTGGTCAATTTCCGCTGAGTCAGCTGAAACGCCAGATGAGATGTGAGTGCCCCTCTCGGGACCACCACTTGACTTTTGTCGAAGGAGCTGGGTGGAAATCTGTTAGCTGAACAGCCACTGCATCCAAATCAGATGGCGTCACAGTTCGGGTATTTTGACAGCTTCACATGTCAGCTGTGTGTACAGTAGCTGCAGCAGGAGATTCGTCCATGTGTTCTGTGTAGTATGGATGGAGGAATCTGACTTCTTTCATTCAGCCCACAGGCTAAACAAAAGAAATGTGTAATGCCGGCCATACATGGGTCAAAATTACACCATCGCTATGCGATTCCCCACTTTTTCCACCCAAAAGTCTGTCGCATAAGCAGGGGCGGACTGACCACTTGGAAACTCGGGCACTGCCCGAGGGCCCGGGGTCAGTAGGGGGCCCCATGAGATGCCCCTGGTACCTTTTTCATAGGCTTTTTTGAGTTTGGGCAAGGACACAGGGGCCCCATGATCCCCTATTGCCCGGGGGCCCCATGAGTTGTCAGTCCGCCCCTGCGCATAAGCATGCTGCATGCTTACCATGGCATTTCCTAATACCGGCCATACATGGGTTGAAATTCGAACGTTTTTTTTGCCCAAAAATAGGACCTAAGAATAATCGGCCGATTTTCGCTCTGTTAGTGGGTCAATGGCACCGGCCGATTTTCGCTCTGTTAGTGGGTCAATGGCACCGGCCGATTTTCGCTCTGTTAGTGGGTCAATGGCACCGACCGATTTTCGCTCTGTTAGTGGGGTCAATGGCACCAGCCGATTTTCGTGGTTCCTCCCCTTTTCGGTGATCGGTCTTGTTGGAAAATTCATGAAAAACGACCGATTTTCGATGGTCAAATCGTAAGATCATTTTTCCGAAAAGAATATGCGCATGAGCCGTGACCTGGAAGGAACAGAAGTTTCGCCTGTTATATGGGGTGAACTTTATGAATTGGTCGGCCGATTTTTTAAATCATTGATGGCACCATCGGATTACCAAGCGAACAACGTTTTTGATTTTCGGATGCAAAATCGTTCGGGATTCGACCCATGTATGCCCTGCATAAGTGTATGGCCAGCTTAACCCAGAACAAGCATGCAGGTAAGGATTTCTTCAATAACGCCAACTTTCCTGGCCTTCATGTTTTTGGGGGTCATTAACCGAAAACTGGGAAGCCAGAGGATCAGCATGACAGCATTGGAAAAAGGGGGGTTCACTAATGACAGACTCATATTTTTCTGGAGGAAAGGTTTCTTTAAGGTACCCATTTTTATGTGACTGTTGGCACCTGATGGATTGGGCAATGTTTAATTTATTGATCTTTTATATAATCTATCTGTGTGTGTGCAGGTTGTAATAATATTTGTACACGGGCCAGACATACATGTCAATCAAGTATACATGCAGTGCTCTGCCGCTCCCCTCTCAACCATATGGGTCAACTCAGACCCATAATGATTTACTGAACTCCATACAATGCCAAAGTGACTTATCCTGTCATTGATTTTCTCCCAGCAGTCAGCCAGTAATGCAGATTGCACTGCCTAACATGCAAAAAGCCATGAGGCCTGGTTCACACCTATGTGTTTTTTTTTTTCGGTGCTCTTTGCAGTACAGTCCATTTATCATGGTTTCCTATGCGAAACGTTCACATCTATGCTTTTTTCAGCTACTGCGTTTTTGGAAAGGGTCAGGAACTTTTTTTAAAATGCAAAATGGTGTGTTTTTGGCTCAATAGACTTCAATGGAGACGCTGCAGAAAAAGCATGTAGTGCGTTTTTGATGTGTTTCGCATTTTTAATCTGGCAAACAACAAATTGGCCAATAGAAAAAGCATAAAAAGGCGAAACGCATCAAAAAAAGTGTGAAAAACACATCATAGACACGTATTCAAAAACACAATGCAAAAAGCACTGCAGAAACGGATCAAAAGCAAACTGCATAGGTGTGAACCAGGCCTTACAGTGCTTTTACCATGTATACCTTCATGAAAATATAGCACATCGAGCAGGAAAAATAGAATCATAGGAAATGACCTTTTAAGAATGCATTACCGAAAAATTCAACTGAATACTAATAAATGAAATTACATGCAATTAAAATAATAATTAAGTATGCATTACAGAATAATTCAAAATGTGTAACTACGGAAAATAAACTACACCGTGTATACACATATATATTTATATGGATGTGATATTGCAAATGCATTCTTCTTTAAATAATATATTTTGAACTATTACGAAGTTAAAGTTACCTATATAGTTTGTAGTAATATAATGACAAACTCATATGTTTGTACCCTATGGATCTCCTTACATTACCAATGCTCACATTGTCCACTGTAGCGTTTAGGTCAGCCTTTCTCAACTCCTTTAAACTGTAGAAACCCATTATATACCTTTAAAGAGTTACTAAACCCTGGACCCTGCGTTCACTATATCTGATCTCCCAGGACCCTGCATTCACTATATCTGGTCTCCTCGGACCCTGCATTCACTATATCCGATCTCCCAGGACCCTGCATTCACTATATCCGGTCTCCCCGGACCCTGCATTCACTACATCTGGTCTCCCAGGACCCTGCATTCACTATATCAGTTCTCCCCGGACCCTGCATTCACTATATCCGGTCTCCACGGACCCTGAATTCACTATATCCGGTCTCCCCGGACCCTGCATAAACTATATCTGATCTCCCAGGACCCTGCATTCACTATATCTGGTCTCCCCGGACCCTGCATTCACTATTTCTGGTCTCCAGGGACCCTGCATTCACTATATCAATTCTCCCCGGACCCTGCATTCACTATTTCTGGTCTCCAGGGACCCTGCATTCACTATATCAGTTCTCCCCGGACCCTGCATTCACTATTTCTGGTAACCCAGGACCCTGCATTCACTATATCAGTTCTCCCCGGACCCTGCATTCACTATATCTGATCTCTGAGGACCCTGCATTCACTATATCTGGTCTCCCTGGACCCTGCATTCACTATATCTCTTCTCCCCGGACCCTGCATTCACTATTTCTTGTCTCCCAGGACCCTACATTCACTATATCAGTTCTCCCCGGACCCTGCATTCACTATATCTGATCTCCCCGGACCCTGCATTCACTATATCTGGTCTCCCCGGAGCCTGCATTCACTATTTCTGGTCTCCCCGGAGCCTGCATTCACTATTTCTGGTCTCCCCGTACTCTGCATTCACTATATCTGGTCTCCCCGGACCCTGCATTCACTATATCTGATCTTCCCAGACCCTGCATTCACTATATCTGATCTCCCCGGACCCTGCATTCACTATATCTGGTCTCCCCGGAGCCTGCATTCACTATTTCTGGTCTCCCCGGAGCCTGCATTCACTATTTCTGGTCTCCCCGTACTCTGCATTCACTATATCTGGTCTCCCCGGACCCTGCATTCACTATATCTGATCTTCCCAGACCCTGCATTCACTATATCTGATCTCCCAGGACCCTGCATTCACTATATCTGATCTCCCAGGACCCTGCCTTCACTATATCTGGTCTCCTAGGACCTTGCATTCACTATATCTGGTCTCCCTGGACCCTGCATTCACTATATCTGGTCTCCCAGGACCCTGCATTCACTATATCTGGCTTCCCAGGACCCTGCATTCACTATATCTGCTCTCCCTGGACCCTGCATTCACTATATCTGCTTTCCAGGACCCTGCATTCACCATTTCTGGTCTCCCCGGACCCTGCATTCACTATATCTGGTCTCCCCGGAGCCTGCATTCACTATATCTGGTCTCCCTAGACCCTGCATTCACTATATCTGATCTCCCAGGACCCTGCACTCACTATATCCGGTCTCCCAGGACCCTGCATTCACTATATCTGATCTCCCAGGACCCTGCATTCACTAGATCTGTTCTCCTAGGACCTTGCATTCACTATATCTGGTCTCCCAGGACCCCGCATTCACTAGATCTGGTCTCCCAGGACCCCGCATTTACTAGATCTGGTCTCCCAGGACCTGCATTCACTATATCTGGTCTCCCTGGACCCTGCATTCACTATATCTGGTCTCCCAGGACCCTGCATTACCTATATCTGATCTCCCCGGACCCTGCATTCACTATATCTGATCTCCTCGGACCCTGCATTCACTATATCTGGTCTCCCCGAACCCTGCATTCACTATATCTGGTCTCCCCAGACCCTGCATTCACTATATCTGATCTCCAACAGTACACACAACATGTATGTGCAGTTATTTTAGTAAATATAAACTGATAAATACCTTTTCTCATCAATGGTATTTAGCAGTTGTGACTTCTATCAGTGTCCAGCTGAGCACTGGTTAAAGCTTTTAGGAGGAGTTTTCATTCAACTCTGACTGTCCTATGAGGTTGCATGACGCCTGACCCTCTGTCTGGACAGTACTGATTGACCCTGGGGATCACATGCACCCTCCTAAAGAAAAAAAAAAAAACCCTAGCCATACACACTAAACTGAGCATGTGCAGAGTGACTTATAGCGCTCTGTACTAACAGCAGAAGGATTGGGGACAGCAGAAGAAGGGGAGAATCAGAGAAGACAGAATCAAACAGCTGTTTTTTTTTTTACACTGAGGATTAACCCCTTGGGTTCCACAGTGAGAATAACAAGTATTCTTTACTGCATATACAGACTGATTTTACTGTTGTGGGTTTAGTAACACTTTAAGGTCTCACGGAACCCCTCCCAATAATCACTATATCCACAGCTTATAATATATTAGTGTGGTGGTAAGTCGGACGAATTCCCCACAATTAGTGGCCATTAGTAAGAATGTGCCCCTTACAGAGAGCTGGTGTCAGTGGTAACTTACCCGAGAGGCAGAGATTTCTCATTGCTCCAAGAAGCCCTAACAACCTCTGGAGGAACCCCAATGTTCCAAAGGACCCTGGCTGAGAAATCCTGCTGTACATCTTCGTAGGTGTAACCATAGCTTGGTCTTGGCTTTTATGCTGGCCTTGCAGTTGTGTTTCTTTAGCTTTTAGCTGTAAGCATTTTAAGCAACCAAAAGTAAAAACGAAGGTGGAAAAAATAAAAACAAAGCATTCTCTAGTGCAGTGGTTCTCAACCTTCTTAATGCCGCGACCCTTTAATACAGTTCCTCATGTTGTGGTGACCCCCAACCATAAAATTATTTACCCATTAATTATAATTCATGAAGTGTCGTTTTACCTCCAATACTGCTGCTTTCAACACAGTAGCTGCTTTCTACACAGTAGCTGCTCTTTACACATTGGAAATATGTGTTTTCCGATGGTCTTAGGCGACCCCTGTGAAAGGGTTGTTCGACCCCCAAAGGGGTCGTGACCCACAGGTTGAGAACCACTGCTCTAGTAGCAATGTTGTGGTCAGTTGCGTCCTGAGGCAGGTGCAGGGGGTGTGCACTGCACTGGGTGACACCGACCGCACGGGGTGACACCGGACCCGCTCCACAAAAAGGTAAGTTGTAAAGCAAGCCGACGATCCCCGCAGGATGGATCGGATCTGCGGATTGGGGAGCATAATGGATCGGAGTCCGATCCATTATGCTCAATCCGCAGATCTGATCCATTATGCGGGGTTCATTGGAGGGGGTGTCACCAAGTGTTATCACACCGGGTGACACCAACCCTAGGGACGCCCCTGAATGTGGTGGTTTCAAATGATTTCCACACCATTTTCTATCATTTGTCTTCTGGAAACTAGAAATATACTTAGAAGAGGACCAATTAAAAGCCACCAAAGTTTCTAGTACAGTATTGGGCCAGCATGACTACTACCTTGGCCAGTCCTTGGAAAGGCCATCATTTCTCAATCACTATTTCTATAAATTTCAGTGAGGGTTTCAAGCTCCGATCTTCATCTCCAAACATGGAGAGCTGGTGGATCACTACTAGTCTGAGTCTTCTTTGACTTCTGGCAAGGGTGACTCCAGCCAAGCCAACCCAAACCAAAACCACAAGAAAAAGCACAAAACCCAACCAGCAGAACTGCCTGCTCAGACAGGGAGGCCCCCCAGTCATAACAAAATAATGACCAACATCTAGCACATCTTCTGAAGGCATCATTTGCAGGCAAGGCCCCAAACCATAACAAGGTAACGACCCACATCTAACACATCTTACCATAGCATCATTTACATGTATTTGTTTTATACATATTATATATATATACTCAAGTATATCAATCAATCAAAGCAGATGTTACACACTTGTCCAATACAACAGGTCTGTAGTAAGACAAAATGGCATGCCCAAGGGCGGACTGACAACTCATGGGGCCCCCGGGCAATAGGGGATCATGGGACCCGTGTCCTCGCCCACACTCAAACCACACCCAAAAAAAGCCTATGAAAGGTACAAGGGGCATCTCATGGGGCCCCTTAGTGACCCCGGGCTCTTGGGCTGTGCCCGAGTTCCCGAATGGACAGTCCGCCCCTGGGCATGCCACATCATCAGAACAAAGGTGACAAACTGCTTGGAGAAAAAGGCCATCTTCATGTAGAAATTTCATAGCTGATATCAGGACAGAAGTCCCATCAGAATGATCCAGTGACGTAAGAGGAGACAGAAAGATGAGAGGAAAAGAAAATAAAAAAGGGTTGTTCAGGGCCAAGTAACCCAAGGATTAAAGGATAAGTTCACCTTCAGAACATGTTACATGTTCCACCTGTTTTTAGGGTGGAACATGTAACATATTCCAGTACCTGCACCCTGCACGCCCAATCCCTACCCCCACCCTGTGACATGAGATGGGGGATCTTCATCCCGCACCCACAATTTTAAAATAACTTGGCCACGTCATTCATTCACAGTTTCCTGTGAATGAATGCCTACAAGTACCCTCAGCCATTGCGGCTGACAATTTTTAGTTCTCGAAGAAATACGAGGGTGCTGGTGAGCGCTTTGGTGGTTCATAGATTCTTCCTGCTCTTGGGTAACTTCCTGCCCATACAAGGTACAAGCCGACGGCTATGCTGCAGGAGCCTGAGATTGCACCCGTGATCTACTGATCGCGATGGCAATGCTCTGCAGGCTCTTTGAAAAAAAAAAAATATTTAACATTTTTTACCTGCAAAAAATGTGCATTTATTTATTTTTTTTTAAAAGGTTGAACTTTTTTAAAAATATATTTTTTTAAAATATATTCTTCAGATTTTTTTTTAACATATAAAAAAGTCATTTTAACATATATTTTTACATATATTTGGAAATGCATTCCAAAAATGTAGATTTGTATTTCTAAAGACATACAGTATATTTGAAATGTATCTTTAAAAATGTTTTTCATATATTTTGTAATAAAACCGCATTTCAACATGCAGTGTGTATATATATATATATATTTATTTATTGAAATATATTGAATATGGACAAAAGTGTAGTATTTCAAATATATGGCAATATATTTGGGAAGAATATTTTTAAAATATATTTCAAATATATATTTCTTCTATATGGGAATCAATGCAGCACCATGGCACATTTTGCATGTTATACATTGTTTTCCTACGTAAATCTCTCCCTACTATAAAAGGGCTAGCTGGCTGTGTTGCTCCTGAGGCAAAAGGTTCCCAATCCTTCCCTGATCAGTTTATAATGCAGGGCATGCTTTGAGTTTGAATATTTTGTCACCTGATTGGATACATGTTGTCCAGTTTTCCCCAGATTTGAGAAATATGTGCCTAATGGACCTTATACATGTCTCTATTATGGTTTCTTTCCTCTTCCAGGAGTGTGAAATTTTCGAGAAATGCTGCACAAACGTCTGTGGACAACGAAGCTGTGTGGCCGCCCGGTATCCAGACTCTGGCCTGCAGGCCCCTGGGTCTCTCCGCCCTGCTACCTGCTCTGGTTTTATTTGCACTCAGCAGGGTTCTGACTGCGAGATGTGGGAAGCTCGTCCAGTGTGCCGCTGTCGGGAAAGATGTGGAAAGCAACCGGGCTTCACATGCGCCTCGGATGGCCTCACTTATTACAATCGTTGCTACATGGATGCTGAAGCTTGTGCTAGGGGTATAACTTTAGTGGAGGTGCCCTGCAAATTTGTGTCATCTTGGCCAGCCACAACTACATCACCTTTTGAGACTACCCCCCTGACCACCCAGCCTTCCACTCCTCTGGAAATACCTGTGCCTCCTGCATTGTACCATTCACCCTCACCACAGTCGGTTATAGTAGGTGGTACTGTAGGGCTACAATGTGAATCTAGTGGACGCCCACGTCCAGAAATCCTATGGGAGAAGCAGGGAGATGGTCCCTCAGCTCCTTTGATGAGGCCAGACCAGATGTACGGAAATCTTGTTGTAACCAATTCTGGCCAGCTGGTCATCTACAATGCTCGTCCAGAGGATGCTGGAATTTATGTTTGTATGGCCCGGAACTCTGCGGGACTGCTGCGTGCTCAGTTTCCCCTTTCTGTTGTCAATAAAAGGACCACCACAGCAAGTTCAGGACATCAGCGGCTAGTCCAGCCCTCTGAATGCCTAAAGCTCCCAGAACTCAGAGAATGTCTAGGTCCTCAAGTCCTACGCTGGTTCTATGCTTCACAAAGTGGTGACTGTCAAACTTTTCTTTATAAGGGGTGTCCAGGTCCTGCTAACAACTTTCATACTTATGAAGAGTGTCGTGCATCATGCCACACTCGGCCACCAGATCCCTGTTCATTGCCACCTGTAAGAGGTCCATGTAAGACTCCAGAATGGAGGTGGGCCTACAGCCCTCTCATGCGCCAGTGCTTCTCTTTCATGTATGGTGGTTGTCATGGAAACCAGAATAATTTTGAAAGCAGACAAGCCTGTGAAGATCGCTGCCCTTTGCCACGGGCCAAGCAATGTCAAGGGTGTCACCTTCGAGGAAGGCTGGTGTCCAGTTTGTGCCGAAGTGACTTTGTGATTGTGGGAAGACTGGAAGATTCAGGGGAAGAACGAGTGCTCCGCGTTCTTCTCATAGAGGTGCTAAAAGATGACCACATGGGTCTTCGTCTTTTCCATACCAAGTATCTAGAGGTCACCATGGGAGAGGGTGGAGGAGGAGGGGTGTGTCCCTGCACCA